CAGGAACAGGCTGGAGGGTGTGGTGACGGTGAGCGGGTCGATCAGCGAAAATAAGTGAATGCGAAGAGGTCAGGGGGCTGAGGGGATAGGGGCGCGAGTATGAGAATGTTGAGTGAAAGGAGCGAGCTGGTGTTGACCGCAGCAGCCGGCTGTCAGCTGGAAGCTGAATCAAGTATTCTAGTGCGGCCGCGTTCAGGCCGCAATCTCTCGTCGCCTGCGTGCCACCTGCCTGCGCATTACTGTCTGGATGGGCTCCGCCAGCACCTCCCAGGACGCGTCCAGGTCAGAGTGCAGGCGGTCCGCGTCCAGCTGCAGCTTGCTGATGCCGCGCAGCGTCGACGAGTAGGCCAGCAGGCTGTGGCCGATGCCTGGCGTCGCGGCGTGTTTCAAAGGGCGGAGCTTTAAGGTTTCAGGAGGATGCAGGCATCTGGTAGCATACCACAAGACCGCCGTCCACGCCTTCACCAGAGGAAGCCTGAAGCTGACTTGCCAGGAGTTGCCATCACAAGATTCAGTTGATGCGTGCCATGCGCCGCAAGCAGGCCCAGCCTCGACTCTGCATGGAGCAGCGGCCGCGCTGCAACACGGGGCCAAGACCACCCCCCCTCTCATGCGACGGCGCCCACCGACGCCGAGGTTGCGCAGCACGGTCGAGTCAGTGAGGTCCCTCTGCCAGCGGCTAATGGGCAGCTTGTGGATGAGGTGGTCCATCACCGCGTTGCCCAGTCCAAGGTTACCCTCGGAGTTCTCAAAGTCAATGGGGTTGACCTTGTGGGGCATAGTGCTGCTGCCGACCTCGCCCGCGATGGTGCGCTGCCTGGGGGTGGCGCGGGTCGCGATGAGTGCGGGAGCAACGGCGGGTTTGGACGGCAGCGGATCCTGGCGGCGGCAGGATTGCGCACGGCGGCAGCTGCCTGGCGGCTGCCTTGCGCCACGCACGGGGGTTGAGAGGGGATGGAGCCGGGGCGCAGCAAAGGCAGCTGACGGTAGCCGTCACGACCTGCAGCGGGCATAAAGCGGTTGCAGGGCGCACTGCACAGATGTTGTCCAGGCAGCCAAACCGCCAGCCGCCCAAAGCTTGCACCCCACAACCATCCGCCACTCACTTGAAGTACCCCAGGCTGATGTAAGACCACAGGTCGCGGTCAAAGTCCAGCAGCACGTTGTTGAAGCGCACGATGGCACCAAACAGCTCCGCAATGCAGTCGTGGGGCTCAATCTGCGAACCGCGTGAGTGGGTGGGAGGTGGGCAAGGCACATGCGTGTGTGCGTGCACGCGTGTGTGCATGATGAGTGCGCCTAGTCCTGCGCACGCGCAGGCAATGCCCACACTCCTGCAAGCACCAAGGCAAAGGGCAGCACACAGCCAAACATCATGATGTTGATGAACGCGCGAGTGTGTCACGGGGAGAGGGGTGATATCAAAGGGAGCTGCTGCAGTGCCCGCTGCAGCCACCAGGCGCACCTGGGTAACGTAGGGGTTGAACTTGAGCCCCAGGGAGGTGACAAAGCCCTCCGCCACGGCCTGCCAGTCGACGTCAGGGTAGGCACTAATGTGGGCGTTGTAGTTGCCGACGGCACCTGGGGGTTGGCCAAGGGCCAGTGGGGTATTGGCTTGCCGGTGAGTGGCAGGGCGCGGGGTTGAGCATATGACGTCGGCCCGGGCATAAAGCGCAAGGTTGTGCATGTTGCTTCATGCGTCGTGTGGGCATGATGCAGGCGAGCTTGAAAGGACGCCCGTGCGTCAAGCAAGCATGCTCTTGCAGTCAGGACTCTCCACCAGAGCACCGAACTCATGAGCGCCGCCACCCTGGGGTGATTACCCGTCGGCCCAATCCCATGCTCGTACTGGGCAGCCACACTGTCACTTTGACGGCCCCCAGCGGCATCCTCTACCATACAACATCCCCACAAGTCGACGCCCCACCCACCCGCCATCTTGCCCATCATCTGCACCGCCGCCGCCGCGTCGCGCTGCCGCTGCAGCCGGTACGCAAACACGGCCATCTCCTTGCCCATCGTGGTGGGGCTGGCGGTCTGGCCGTGGGTGCGCGAGAGCATCGACACGTCAGCATACTCCTGAGCCAGGCGCGCCACCTCGCTGATGACCTTGTCCATGGCTGGCAGGACCTGGGGGGCAGGGGTGAGTGGGGCGCGGGTTCAAGTGCAGCCAGGGATGCTTGAGAAACATTCAACTTCAGGCAGGGCGAGGACAGGGGGGTGGTGTGGGGTCGGGTTGTGGCGGGCCGGCTGGGGTTGATGCACACAGGACGCAGCCAGGATCATGCTGTGGCATGGCTACCACCCACGGCCACCCAGCCCCCAGGTCCCACCGGCCAGCCCCGCCACCCCCGCTGCCTGCGCACCCTCACCCACCCCAGCCACCCACCCAGCCTCCAGCGACCCCACCCCGTTCGCCCCCGCAACGCGCCTGCTGCTGCATCGCCTCATTAAGCATGAGGCCGTGCGCCAGGTTGTTGATGTCCTCGCTGGTGCAGGCAAAGTGGGTGAACTCCAGCACCCGCGCCAACTCAGCGTCCTGGGCGAAGCGGCGCTTGAGCACGTACTCCACCGCCTTGACGTCGTGGTTGGTGGTGCGCTCCACCTCCTTGACCTGTTGGGTGAGAGCGGCCGGATGAGGTTGATGGTGCGTGCGGACAGGGGGCCAGCGGACGCTGCGCGTGCAAAGGGGGTGCACCTCTCCAGGCGCAGCTCCCTAGCCGCCCGGCGAGTCTGACGAGCGCGCCGCTGCTTGCGCAAAAGCGGGTGCGCCAACCCATGGCGGCGCTGCGCCCGGTCGAAGACGGCGGCGCGCACTGGCTCGCGCGCCCCCTGCCGCAGCGCGCGCGCCCCTGGCAAAGCACGCGCCCCCCCGCAGCAGCGCGAGCTCCGCCGCAGCGCGCGCCCCCGCC